CACACACACACACACACACACACACACACACACACACACACACACACACAAAGTCCGTCGCTGTAAATTTCCCTGGAGCAGTGAGAAATAGAGAACAACTCAGGATGATTCCATTTCATGCCCCCTAGAGTAGGAGGTCCAGCCATAAAAATCACGGAAAGCAGTAAGCATGTAGTCCTCTGGAAGGTACATGTTTGTTGTTTTGTTTTTTTCTTTTTAATTCCAAGCATAGGCCACCTTCTCTGTGTTCAGAGAGAGCAGCTTCAAAAAATATCCTTCTCCTCCAGCATCAATGCTTTTGCAAATCCAAGCCAGCATCCTGGACAATTCTCAAAACCTAGAGAAAACACATTTCCAATGTCTGACACACACACTCACATTTGAAATCTATGATTTAGGTCTATTGTTTGATATGAAATGGCTCACATTTGATGTTTAAATGTTTTCTTCAAGAATTATTTTGATCAAAGCACTATTTCACATAAAAAGTTGCTGTTTGGCTGAGAACACAAATGGTTAATAAGGTTAATTGCTCCTCAAAAAATTTATCTCCTTTATTTTCAGAATTGCATGCCTAGCACACTGAGCTTAATGTTGAAAACAATAGTAAATCTGTCCCCGCTAAAAGCTTCTCAGCCTCAGAGAAAGCAAACAGAGGAGAAAAGTGTAACGGTTGTTTTCAAGTCAAAATGACAAGAAACAAAAATGGGAGGAAAAATATCCTTCTGTCCTGAAGTTACTCCAGGACACCAAGGCTTTAGCTGGATGCGCCAACATTGCCACCAATTTTTCATGATGATTCATTACTCTCATTTCATGCTGTGGAGACACCCCAACCACACACCCTGCCTCCAGATGGTGGCATGTGGAGACCAACTCAGTGGCCTGAGTTTACACGTGGCTGTTTTGAGTTTACTGGAACAGGGTGAAGTGCAACAGTTGCACATTTGCATTTCAAAGACATATGTTTAGTGACTTAATAACTTTCTTTCTCAGGTGCCCTCGCTAAAATTTCACCTCTTTCATCGCCCTGCTCCTCGCCTCTCCAAGGGACTCCAGCCAGCAGCCCTGTCAGCAAAATTTCCACAGTGCAGTTTCCAGAATCTGCTGACACAACTGCCAAACAAGGGCCAAGTTCTCACAGGGCCTTAACCTATACTCAGAGTGCCCCTGACCTGTCCCCTCAGGTCCTGACTCCACCTGTTATATGTAGCAGGTAAGGATTTTGTGGTGTTAACTGAAGTCTAATAATAACAGTTTTCCTCCTCAGAATGCCACCTATCTATACAGTTTGATGAAGTTTGCCAAAAGAACAAGAAAGTGTAGGATGATATGATTTGGATTTAATAGACATGAAGAGAAACTGAATGTTTCAGTGGTTTTCTATTAGTAGAAAGCTTAGACTCCATGCAGTCCACACAGTTACTCTTTGGAGATGTCTCCAAATAATCTGTTGTTATTTTGTTACAAATAATAATGATTACAAAATAATAATAATTCTGTTACCAAATAATAATAATTTTGTCTGCAGTTGATGGAGCATGCATAAAATATCTAATTGAAAAATTACACCAGCTAATTTGATATCATCTGACACTGGGTTAAAATGTGCTTTACTTGTTCTCCTGGGAGTACTTTACATTGATATTAAAGATATTTTGTCTGCACTTTGCATTTCCAATTTTAGCACTTTAAAAATGCATCAATGGTGTATGGCAAATTATGGCTAGATGCTAATAGTTCTCTGAGTGCTATTAAGCAATTGTTTGTACCACTCTGTCTTGTTGAAAAAGAATTATAAAAGATTATTTATTAAAGGATAAGAAAAGACGGTCTAACATGGCCAAAGTAATTACTTTATCAACATTATTACTAAGAAATTAATCCTACTGATTAATATATTTTTATTGTTCTTCATTAATAGCTTCAACTTCAATAATTGGTCTTAAATCATTAAATATTTTTAAAATATAAAATAGTTGAGTGCTTTAAGTATAATCATGAGAATTCCTTCATCAAAATGATACTTCTAAGGTTAATGAGGAGAAATATTTGAATAAATTCATAACATGTTGGTTTTCAAGTAGCAAATATTGGCTCATGGACCCAGATTTTATCAGTATATTCCATTTTAAGAACTAGCAACTGATAAGAAGCTTCACAAGTTCCATTTTCTAGATTTTGTTCATAAACTCTGTGACTTAGTCAGTTTCCGTCTCTATGACAGAATACCTAACATAAATCAACTTAAAGGAGGAAAAGTTTAGTTTGGCTCACAGTTTCAGAAGTTTTGTTCAACGATTGCTTGACTTTAGTTGGTTTATGGCTTGTGGCATGGCAGTGCATCATGGCAGAGAGCAGATGGCAGAGGAAACTGCTCATCTCCCGGTGGCTGGGAAGCAAGAGTAGAGAAAGAGGTTCAGGTCCCAGTCCCTTCTAGAGCACAACCCCCCTCACCCACCAATGACCTAACTTCCTACCCAATCCCACCTCTTAGTGGTTCTACTTCCTTCCAGTATTACTACCGGCAGTGATCAAGCTTTTAACTCATGGGACTTTGAAATGTAAGTATAGATCCAAACTAAAGCACTCTAGAAGTTAAATGGGTGTCATTTATTTTATAATCTTTATTTTTATTTCTTAACATTTTGCAAATATTTGTAAACAGGAAGTCAGTTTTGTGTGTTCTTTGGGTCGGGACTGAGTTGAAAACTTAAGTCTGCCATCTTAAAATGGTTCCTTCCTCTCTTTTGTCAGCCACTTTTAATAAAGTGATTTCTGAAGGACACTAACTTCCCCAAAACACTTGTTCTGTAATAGAATGTCTAGGAGACACAGCATCTTTCTCTGTTGGAGACGCTCAACATGAATCATCTTATTCAAAGCTCTGAGAAGTTGTGCTAAAAGAACACCTCTCAATTTTTATTTTATCCCTTGTGTTCTGAACTTTAACGACAAAGCCAGTTTCATGGGCTAGCACCCTATCCTTGCCCAGGAATCTAATGTCAGACAGGACTAACTGAAGAAGCAGGATTGGTGGGTGTGCTCTGGGCCACAATGGAGCCCCTTAGAGCAATCTGCATTGAGGACATCTGCTTCCAGCTTTTCTAGGGAGCCCTCCCACTCTGGACTCCAGACTTATGGGAAATAAGCTGCCTAAAGAAAGGAGAGGGATGTTCAGGAAAGACCTTCCTCCCATGGAGCTTTCCTCATCGTAGCCTATTTTTTTGTGATCTTGGCGGGAAGAATGTAATGGGATTTTTATAAAAGAGGTTTCAGAGAAAAACAAGGGGATTTCACTGTCTACTTGTTCAGTAATGTTTATAAATCCAGTAGTGTGTGTTTTATTTGTTTGGGCTTCATAAATCTATAATTCAAACCAGGTTTTATTATTTCCTTCAAGGCAGCCACCCATGTAGGCACAGAGAGGTCCAAAAACACACGACTAATTATTGTGGTTTCCCCTGCTGAACTCGAAGGGTTTGGCATTGAGTCCCAGTCTCTTGGCTGCTGTGATGTCTATGCAACAAGCCATTTTTTTGGCACAGGAGCTGATATATTTGAACTCTAATTTCAGTATTACTTTTTAGGTATTATCTTGCAATGAAAAATCTGTAAACTAATAAACTCTCCTTCTACCAATCTGCACCTGAGAATGGAAGACCATCCGTCAGTTGCATGCACTCCCTTTTTCTATTTATTCTCTGTTGTCTTTTGATTCCCTAAAGGAAAGAGATAGTATTTCATCCTTTAAAAAAATGATTTTTATATAATGCTTTCTATTGACATTCAAGGGTTGACCAGTAAATTTACTTAGTATGAAGATATTCTCTAGCCAGAAAATGCTTTTCTTTATTGCACACACATGCATAATGGAGAGAGAAGTGATGAGACATTTAATATATTAGACAATAAACTCACTCATTTCTTTTTATTTGAGTGGGTGATCTGTAAATAACTAACAGACCAAAAAAAAGTCTTCTGAGACTCTTGGTTGAGAGTCTTCCATAGAAGATCGTATTCTTCATCTTTTCTATAAATAGAAAAATAGAACTTAGTGGCAAAATTCAGAATTAAAATTTAATCATGAAGTGTCTCAAAAGGAAGAAGAGAGGACCCCCATCTGCCCAACCATTTGGAGTTACTTTTGAACTAATAAAACAGGAAAGTTGTTGAGAAAAGAAAAATATATATCCCACATTCTTCAACGCCTTCTGCTGAGGGGAACCATTCACCTCCCAAGTGTTTTTGATGTTCTTGGTCACCCACAAGGTGCCTCACTGGTCCATCTTTCTCAACCAGCACCACATCTAGTCAACCATACATTCACTCATCACCAAAGTGTTTATCTCTTGGTTCATTTCCTTAGAGTCTAGACAGGTTACCGATTGATCTTAAAAATGAATTCACTTTCATTTTTTAGCAAAAATAAAAATTAACACATGCTTTCTTAAAATATCTGTAAAAATAAATCTAATACAGAAATTTTTAAGCAGGTACAAAGATATTCCATCAGCCTCCCCAGAATCAGCCTCCCCAGAATCACTGCTATAAACAGTTGGCAGCCTACCCCAGTTTTCTCCAAATAATGTAACAAAATTTTATACCACAATTTTACCTCAAATATGGTCTAGACTGTAGGGAGAAGGAGAATGGGAGGCAGATGAAATTTCTAATCCCTCTGTTTATTATTCGCTCACAAAAACAAAAGCAGTAGACTGCCTGTTAGCATCCAGGTATAAAACAAAATGAATTTTTCCATGACAAATAAGTAAAAGTCATGTTATTGTAGATGTCTGTCTTTTGTTCTGTGGTACTGGGGATTAAAGCCAAGGCCTAGAACATACAAGGCAAGAGCTCTGCCACTGAGCTACATCCTCAGCCCTGTGTCTATCTCAGTGTACACAAAGATTGTGTATATGTTTGGTATTTTGAAAAGAGAAAGATATACTTATGACCTTTCCAATATTTCTCAGCTGTGGCAGACCATATTCCCAAGGGAATCCTGCTGATGGGCCCCTGGAGAGAGCTGGCACAACCACTCGGACAGTAAGCAGAACAGGTAAATCATAATTTTGGATCCTTTTCCACAAAATGGGAATTATCTTACTTCATTTCTTTTCCTGATCCAAAAGGTAACCCATTTTCCTGGGGTTTTTTTTATTTGTAAATTTAAAAATACAAGAAATAAAATCAAAATTATTCATAACCCTACTATACAGATTTAATCGTCGTAAAGTTTTGGTGCTAAGCTGTCCATAATGTTGCTATACAAATTGTGTTGTTTTTTTTTTTTTTTTAAGTGAGAGGCTGTTTTACAAGGTAAAACTACATAAAAAATGTTATTTTGTTTTTCCTACTTTGTACATTGGAGTAGGTTCTCTTTAGAGAATACCATCACAGACCCTAAGAAATTACCCTCCTTTTCTCACTGTAAACTTAATGTGGGTTTTCCTTGAGGAGGTATTATGGAGAGAATGAGAAGATGGGTATTGCATCCTGGTTCATACCCCGATTCTGTAACCTGCTTACTGATAATCTAGATCTAGTTCCTTAACTGCAGAATACTAGAATACCAATAGTACCTACCACAGAGGACGAAGAAATTAATTAAAGGAGATGAAACATTTATTACTTATTATAGCATCTGGTTCACCATAAGTAGTTAGTGTTTGCTGGTAATTACTATAATGATTATTTTTTATTTTTGTTCATACAGTCCTAAAAGTACACAAAGTTGGAAATGTCTATGAATTATAGACTTTAGGGTAATAAAGCTATCTCATAATTATCAGTTATCTGTTCCAGCATTTCTTGGTAGCCACTCAATAAATATTGAGTGATGTAATTTTTCTATGATAATATTGTGCTGTATACAAAGGGGGAAGAGGCATAGGGAAGGAGAAACCAGTGGAAAATTCTCTGTGCGGTGCTTGTTTGATAGTGGAGCACTATGAGGACTCAGAATACTTTATGTGTGTTCCTGATCTTCCTCTAATTCTACTGGGGCTGATAAAATAAGGGAAATATTTTACCTTTGTGGTCTCTTGAATGTGGCTTCTTCATTTTTTTATATAGATTCTGGAATTGAACCTTGTCAATTACATTTTCATACTGTACCTAAGTGCTTTTTTTAGTAGCAGGGATTGAACCCAGGGGAACTTAGTCACTCAGCCACATGCCCAGCCCTTTTGATTTTTTTTATTTTAAGACAAGCTTCATACAGTATCTAATTTTAACATAAAAACAGATGCATGGGAAAGAAGAAAAATGAGTGTTTGGGAAAATTCTGTAAATATATTTCTGACTAGTACAGGCTCTAGAACAACAGTCATTATTCACTTGCAATTTAAGAAAAATCAGTTACTATATGTATAAAGACACACAACAAACCTAGAATACATAAAGCAATCTTGACAAGGGAGAACAAAGTTTGAGGGAGGTACACTTCCCTTGACTTCAAGACTTAAGCTGTAGTCATTAAGAGAGTGTGGTTATTGACCCAAGAGTCAGCAAGCAAATCAAATGGACTAAACCAAAAATCATCAAAATAGACCCAGACCTGCGTGGTCATTTGATTTTTATACAAAGATGTCAAGCAATCCAAATGTGTTTGGGAGGAAAATGAACTTTACCTTTTATCTCACACCATGTAAAAACACCTTTTAAGTGGAGCACAGACCTAAACTTAAAAGCTGAAAATGATAAAGCTTTAGGAATAAAACAGGAACAAATCTTTGTGATTTTGGAGAAGACAGAGATTTTATAGACCAGGGAAATCACAAAAGAAACCAAAGCTAGACTTAATCAAAAACCAAGTATATAAACTCTATATAGAATCAGATTTCCCGAGCTCAAATTCTAGTGGCAGAATTTATTGACTGTGAGTGTAAGCAATTTACTAATTTTTTCTTTTTCCCTGTTTCATATCTGAAAAGTAGAGATAATAGTAATACAATCCTATACTTTCCCCATGGGATTGTTGAGAAAATTAAATGTGTTAGTACAAATCAAATGCTTTGAGCGGTACCTAGCACGTAGCAAGCACTTAGTAAACTTCATTCAGCTCCTAGAAAATTATTGATCTCTTTGCCCCAGGAGCATGTCCTCTAGATACTTGGTATTTTCTGGTTAGTCATTCTATCAGCACAGTTTGTGGCAGTGGAGGAAGGAAGCCAAAGCCTCCTAAGAAATAAGATTGGATACACAGGGTCTGCCATGCTCCTAACCACATTCCGTTGCTTCATGTTCTATCCACCATTCCTAGGCGTGCAGCTCAATTTCTCCCACCTGAGTCACCATTCTAGAATTAGTGTATCAATTAGCTACTTAGTGGTTTACTGTATTGGGAGAAAAAAAAAAAAAAGAGGAAACTGAAATATAAAGTCAGAGGATTTTTAAAAAAATACAAAGTACTGGTCTAAAAAATATTATTGAGGGATTATTGAATGTCACATAAAGCACAGATTATATTTCCTATCTATTTTATTGGGGTAAAACCTGTCCTTTTCTTACTTTATGATCCTGGTGTGTGAGTACCTGAAAACAATATTCCCCTAAATGTTATGGCATATGGAGATGAATCTTAGGAAATTTTGTTACATGAGACCCCTTGCCCCATTGCAGGTCCCATGGCAAGCTGTTCTCTTTTCATTACAGATGACACTGCCCAAGTTACCTCTGATTATGAAACCAATAACAACAGTGACAGCAGCGACATTGTACAGAATGAAGATGAGGCCGAATGCCCAACAGAGCCACTGAGGAAAACATCAGCTTGTGGCACCTACCCTCCAGAGGCCATGATATTCCTGGTAGCTCCTTATCACTCAACTCATCCATTTACTTGAGAAACTGGCTTTAGTTACAGAGGAGATTGGCTTAGAAGTAGTTCCCTGAATCATTAGATTTATAGATGCATCTCATTTGGACCCCACATGTTGTGGCCCTACCCATGTATATCAGTACAATTTCTCCAGCTGAGCCTATTGATCTCTTTATGGTTGTAATATTGGGTGGTGAAAAGTGCAAAGCATTTATCTTTATAAATAATTCTAGAGATTTCATACCCAATCAAGTAGTCTAAATCAGCACAGGAAAAAATTTAGTTAAATATTTTATAAAGAAATAAGGAAATACAGAAAGAGATTTTCTTAGTACATCTGCTGTTTTTTTTCTTTAGCACCTCCTTGATTTTGGAAGAGAGCTGCTATTTATTTTCCTTGTTCTAGTAAGGAAGATTTATATTGACACTTGCTAAGAGATTCTTAAATGATGACTTATTTTGTGTGTTTGAAGAGATTTATATAAGAAGGTTGGAAGCATATTTGAGTCAGATTAATTTGCGGGAGACAACAAATGCTAGAAAATAATTGGCTGTCACATGATCATCAACTGCTGCCATCATTTTTCTTTTCCTATATTTACCACTTATATTTTAGAGTCAATTTTTCAGGTAAAATAGTATTTTCCTTATGTTTCTTGGGGAGAGGGCAGTAAATGTAGGCTTATGAGTGTCCTGATTTGGGTCCAGTCACAAAGTGTCTTTCCATTTATATAGTGCATTTTTCTCAGCAAATAGTAGGTCACATAATTAAATTAAAATACTTTAAAAATGCAGGAACTGGAATTCTGCAGGATTAATACTGATTTGAAGCATTGCTATGTATATTCAATTAATTAAGTAGGGGTGATTAGCGGCCCCCTCCCCACTCATGGGTTTCTTTTGAGAGTCCAATATAAGCCAGCAACCTTTATCCTATAAAAATTTATACAATTATAGAAAAAGATATGTTTATATAAAATTTTAGAGTATTCTGAAGTCATTGAGTCTTTATCAAAGAACCTTGCATAGATGCAAAAGCAATTACTTTGACTTGTGGAAGAATCATCCATGTTTTGCAGGTGTGATATGGAGCAGGGACAGGCAGGCACCTCGCCATGTAAGATTCACAGTCCAAAACCACATTAGATGCTTTTCACTCTGGGGCCAGTGTTTTGCCTATCTTGATTTGTCATTGTTGTTTTTAAGATTCACTGTAAAGTTTTAGGCCAATTATTTCAGATAACTCAGTTGTTAATGGGATTCACCAAAGCATGCATTGTTTTGTAGAAATCTTCATGTCATTAAAATATTTTAACCTTCATTATAGGACAAACCAATTCTTGCTCCCGAACCTCTAGTCATGGAGAACCTGGACTCAATTATGGAACAGCTCAATAGTTGGAATTTTCCAATTTTTGATTTAGTGGAAAATATAGGAAGAAAATGTGGCCGTATCCTTAGTCAGGTAAGAAAATTTATTCACACATTTGACTTTGAATATCAGCCACACAATCCTTCAGTTGCTGAAAGCATTGTATCTTCTTAACATCTGTGGGTATGTGTTATATGGACAAAGGAAGTATTTCTGTTTGTTTGTTCTGGTACCAGGGATTGAACCCAAGTGTGCTTAACCACTGAGCCACATTCCCAACCTGTTTATTTATCTTTTATTTAGAGAGAGGGGCTCATGAGTTGCTGAGGCTGACTTGAACTTTCAGTCCTCCTACCTCAGTCTCTCGAGCTGCTGGGATTACAGGCATGTGCCACAGCGCCCAGCTCTGACAAAGGAAGTTTGAGGACACTACAATCTGTTATAGTGGGCTAACAAAAGAAATTGGAACTTCCATTGAGCAGAATACCATACTCTACAATTAAGTGTTATGTACCTTTTAAAGAGGAATTAGGGGAAGGAGGATGGGGAATCATAAGCAAGATGGACACATTGATAAAATTCATGGAGTTAAGCAAAATAATAGGTGATTCAAGCCCCCAAAGAAAATATCTATTGACAAACACTAATTTATTTTCTATGATTACTTTTTGTGACTATTTTTTAACTTCTCAATATATTACCCTGGTCAGTTCTCATCAAAAATAAAATATTATACAGAAATATGTCTCTGTATTGTAAGAAATACATCGAATGTAGTTCTCTGTATTTGAACATCAAAAACACCTTTTATCACAAGAAATATAGAAGGCGTAGTGTTACTGTATAACAAATCTTTTAATATTGTTTCCTTTAAGCTATGCTACTTTTGAAGTTTCCCAAATAAATGTTTGTTTTGCTGAGGGAGAAAGAAAACACACCGAAATTAAGAATTTGGACAGGTTTGTTTCAAAAACCAAAACAAAGTGATGAATTTGCTGAAGTATCAAATACCTACCAAAATATACACAGTTTTAAAGGGCACGATTCAGTAATTTACCAGCTTATTTAAAATATAGATATGGATAAATATAATAGCAGAAATACTAAAAACAACTAAACTTTGTACAGAGAACTAATCTAGTCTTCAGGAAGAGAAGATTTTCCTTGCCCTGATGGAATTCACAATCTAGTAGGGAAGAGGTATCAAAATAATGGCAGATCAATTAGGTGCATGCAGAAGGGGTGTGCTGGACTCATCGATGGACTAGAAACTCAGAATGATTCCAGTCTATGCAATGTGCAGCTGTGGCTTCTGCTAGACCCTGACCATGAAGGTGTCGGGGACTTCATGTCAGTCCTTGGCTTTTCCTGGGAGTTGTATGTCCCTTCCATCAACTTCCTTTCTCCTGAGTGCTCAGCAATGTCTTCTGTGCTCCTTATCTTGAGGTCAGGTTCAAGGGCAGCTTTTTCATCTGGTCCACGGTAGCCTTATAACTCCCAGGACATTTTGTATGCCATTTTCTGAAACCGATTGCAGTTCCGACCCTGAGTGAAGGGTCCTTCCTATAATGTTGCCACAAGATATTGCAGAGGTTCAAGAAGTCATCTTCCTCTTTTTGGTTGGAGATTGTGTTCCCAGCTATGGAGACGACTTTTGCATCATTTGGTGTTTGATAGGTGTGTTACAAACTCTTGATCGTCGTCAATTTGGTGCAGGATTTTTTTTTTTTTAAATCTCTATTTTACAGAAGAAGAAGAAACTAAGGCTTGAAAGAGGATGTTTCAGAGTCATAGAGTAAATATGTGGATTTATTCATATCAGAACCTTGGACTTTTTTACATTCAGGTTCTTCTCAGCAACTTGAAAAGCATATTAATTTATTATATGTCTCCAAAGTGGGAGTCTGACAAGTAGACAAATGGTTATTACAGCAGTCAGTTTTATAGCATTCGTGACAGCATACTGAACATCAGTGCAGGTGCTTAAAGTTCTCAGAGCTGGAGACATAGGAGGTTCGAACTTGACCAGTATTGTTCAAGTGCTTTCCTTTTTTTTTTTTACAGTGCTGAGGGTCTTGCCACAACTAAACACATGCTTTACCACTGAGCTCCCCCCAACCCTGACAAAGTAGTTTTCAAGTGTCAAAGATACCACTAGAGATGAGAAAGATTCCGGGTAATTAACATGTAGATTTCAACAAAATTCATTAATGTATCTTTTTATCAGAATTTACATCAGTTACTACTGTCCCAGTTTGCAAAAACACTGAACTTTGAGAAAGTGCCACTTCCTTTGCCTTGCTAAGTAGAACTTTATGATTTTTTTTCTTGAGTTTACAAGTACAAAAATCCTGAAACTTGGATTACAGGAAAGACTTCTTCTTTTTCTTCTTTCTATCTTCCTCCCTCCCTGCCCCCAGTAGTGTGATGTAAGGACAGCTGAAATGAATTAACATGGACATTCCAAAAATCACCTTTTGGCTGAGACTACACACAGAAAGTCTCACTTCAAAAGATTTTTAAGGAGATGTGTGCAATGGAAACAACTTCTCAGCCTTAATACACTGCTTCTCTTTTGATGAAGATTATCATGTTTATTCTAACAAATTTAAAAGGACATTTTTCAGATTTTGAAATTGAGTTTACTCTTTTCAGTTACCAATATTTACCCAGTCAATAATGTTCTTTATTTATGAGTTTGGATTTACCATATATAAAATTATGAATGGTTGTTTTTAGCAACTTGTTGCTAAAAATTTCTCCTGTTTTAAAATCATACTTTAAAATATCCTCTGGTCTTAATTTTTCATTTTATCTTTGAAATGTTTAAAGGGAACCATAGGAAACTTTAATTTGCAATTCTAACAGTGTTGGTTTCCCAGTATGAGGGCAGTGGTTGGGGGTTAGGATTTGAAGCAGTTAAGAGTACAAAATCTCAAACCAAAATGTGTGGTTTATCTATCTGTGTGGGTCTTATCTATCAGCCATGTAATCTTGGACAAGTCACTCATCCTTTCTGTACATTATTTTTCTTGGCTTTCAGATATTAGTAGTTAGTGCTAGATGATTGATTTAATGTAAATAATTATTTGTATAAACCCCTTAAAGCAAGCTCCTCATTTAATGCTGTGTGTGTGTGAGTGTGTGTGTGTGTGTGTGTGTGTTGTAGCTATTGCTGCTACTCTTGCTGCTATTACTATTAAAGTCACATGCATAGTTAAATCCCTTCGGTGCTTATAAACAAGAAAACATTTCAAAGATAAAATGAAAAATTAAGACAAGTATATTCTAAAGTGTGATTTTAAAACAGAAGAATTTTCACCAACAAGCTGTTCAAAACAACCATTCATAATTTTACATATGCTAATTCTGAACTCATAAATAAAGAACATTATCATCTAAGCAGTAGTGCAGAAGAGATCACTAAAAGAAGAAATAGCTTGGAATATTGTACAACAAAACTGCTGTTGCATTTTTAAAGAAAAGAGGTAGAGTTGTTACACAGAAAAGGAAAAAAGTTAAATGTCCTTGTCATTCAGAGTGGAGAAAAGTCAGCAGAAATTGAATTGAAGATTGTATACAGTAACATCCAATCTTTTCCTCAAATGCAGGCACTGTGTTCCTTTTAAAATTAAGACCAAGCCTTTTCACTTCTCCAGTCTCTTTGGTGACTCCTTGCCTCACTTATTAAAAGTGCTTACCTGGGTTTATCTGGCTGTAAATCACTAAGACGGTCCCTGCACCAGTCTCACCCTATGGGACTTCTATTTTATTCCTGTCCTTGGTTTCTATGTTTTGGGCATATCAACCTGCTTGCTGTTTCTTAGGTCTAGTGAGCATACCTCCAGGTCTTTGTACTGACACTTTACATAGAAAAAACTTTTCTCAGGTATACATGTGTCTCATTCCACACCTCCTTCAATTCTTTGCTCAAAAGGCAATTTGTGAATGTGATTCTGCCCAGTCTAAGCACCATATTTGAAAGCACCTGTTCTGTCTTCCCAGTTCTCCATACCTACTCTTTTTCTTTTCTTCATGTGACTTACCACTTTCTGACATGGTAATAACATTTGTTATGTCTATTGCTTCCTGTCCTCCTCTGCTAGGCTATAAGCTCCAAGAAAGAGGAGATCTTTATTTGTTGTGTATGTGAATTTAAATGTATATACATATATGTTTATGCATTTTGCATGTTAGTATCACATACATATATGCTACAGGCGTAGAAAATTGGCATATAATAGGCATTCAATAAATAAATATTGGAAATATATATTTATACATATTTTATATTTTATAAATATTTATAAATATTTTATAGTATTTGTGTATATGTATATATACAGGTATAATGTATATGATTTATAAGTACTGAATTTACAATTAAAAGAATAGTAGTGAATTTGAATAGACATACTTACAGTAAGAAAAGATTTAATATGAAGTAATATATTGAAGATTTAGAAGTAATATCTCAAACGAATTTTAAGAAGGACTGTAGGTAATAAAAAGGATGAATAATTCTTTCTGAACATGTCCTAAATTGTCCCACACTAGGACTTTGAGTCAAAGAGTAAGGCCATTTGGGATGGTTCTGTCCTCCATTCTGCCACATAAATGACCATGTGTGTCTTCATTGCCACCTTCTACTCCATATTAGTTTTTTTTCTTTCTCTATCTTTTGCATGTCATATGCACTAATTATTTCCAAAGGTATTTACTTGATTTGAGTCCTCAGAACTGTGAAAACAACTGGAAGGAAAATAGATATTTGAAGAACAAAGAGAAAAGATCAGTGAAAGAAAAGAGCTACACTCCGTTTTCCATAATGAATTATATAATAAATCATTTCCCTCCACCTGTATTAATCAAAGCTACCCTTTTGCTCTCCCCCATAATTCTTTCCCTTTATTCTTCACCAGGGCACAACTGTGAATGCTTTATCTCTGAAAAGCTTTCTGCTGATGCTTATTATTATTATCATCATCATCATTATTATTAAACATAATTCACCAAAGTTAAAGCTTATCTCACCCTTTAGTTCTTACTGTGTGCATTATGCAATCAGCCACTTAGTATGCATCATTTCCTGTTTACCAATATCCACTCACTTTATTGGCTTAGTGCATTACTTTAGGTATACTAGGGATCTTTGAAGGTTTTTGGATACATGCATAGTCTTTGCTCTTAAATCTAGGTGACATATCCCTTGTTGTAAGGAACTGCAGGGCTCAGCACATAAAAGTCCTCCATGTGAACTTGATTTATTATTCCCAGGCGGTTTCTCTATTGGTAATAAATTAATATTGTTGATGGAATGCACGCTTTGTTCTCCTTAAGTCTAACTCACTGAGGGATGTTTTGCAAGCTTTTGTCTTTCTGTTCTACAGGTATCATACAGACTTTTTGAAGATATGGGTCTCTTTGAAGCTTTTAAAATTCCAATTAGAGAATTTATGAATTATTTTCATGCTTTGGAGATTGGATACAGGGATATTCCTTGTAAGTATAAATGGTTTGTGGAATAATGCTGTCAAATTTGCTGTGGGTGTTAGTATATTGAATCATTAGCAACTAATGCAGAAAAAGTAGGATAGTGGAATAGAAGAAAGAGGAGCTTAACAACACCAGACCCCTTGAGAAAGTCTGGCTGATGAGTGTGTGGAAGTTGGAAGAGAATGATGAGAGAGGATTGTTTGAAGGCATCTTGAGATAAACCTTTCTTAGTACAGTTTCCCTAAGGCTCACCCTGGTTGGATGCCAGTGATTGACATAAGTGTCAGTGATTTCTTAAAGTCAATGAGTTATGTAAATAAACTTTTACAGAAATGAAGCCACTGGAAGCACTAAGAACAGCTAGTCAACAGACTGAATTTTTAAATAAATGTTGTATTTTCAAATACATATTAGTGATACTATTAGTCTTTGCCAAGTTTTATTGAATCTGAATTGATATTAGACTCCACAGATAAAATAACTCCCAATTTTTCTCTAAGTCATGTATCATTAAATGATAGTGAAGAATGGCCAGTATTCAAGTACAAGAAATTTTCAGATTCTGTAGTCTATTATTCAGTTTAATTTTCTTATTGTACTTTTATGTGCTACAAATGAATTTTTTATGTGATAGAAAGTTCTGCATTCCGTATCAAAAGACATTGCTAGAATAAACTTACTTGTGCTATAGAAGTCCCAGACGCTTTTTATAAAGAAATTTATTTACATTTCTCAGGAAAGATTTTGATTGGTGATCACTTTTATGGGCTGGGGTTGTACTTTAAGACTAATATGGTATTTAGTAAGAGCTTTACGTATTTGTTTTAATTAGCACATACAAAAATTTGCTCTTTAGCTAATTATTTTAACATTTGCTATTAAATAATTATATTTATAATGGCTCTATTTAAATAAATCCATAAATAATAAAAAACTAGGAACCAAAGTTAAAATAGAAATGTAATAGGATAATTAATGAAAATATTAGAAACTGATTTTTTATCATAATGCTAAGTACACCTTTTAAAATTTTCACGAGACAAGGGAAAGTGTAAATGCTTTTACATTTTAAATTTTGACTAAAAATTGAATAATCTGGAAGCAGATGTGAGAAGGAAATAGGGAAGAAAAACTATGAAGTGGCACTGGAGAAAGCCATAAATATAGTCAACTCACTGATATAAATGTAATTTTTCACATCTTTTAGCATAAACTATCAGCACAAGTGAAGCATGGTTAATACTCATTTGTACAGGGAGATAAATAATAATATTTGGTAATATTCATAATCCTTTTCACCTGGGCATTTTGGCTACTAAAGAAGATAATCATCAAGTCATGTCCCTTCAAAGATCCAACGTTTTGGGGATTTTTGTTGTTGTTTGTTTGTTTTAGGATGCTTTTTCTGATTGCAAAGACTTTCCTCTCTATAATAGATTTTTTGTTGTTGTTGTTGAATCTTCTCATTCTTATTGTTTCAGTTTGAGAAGTGTGGAGAATGGAATGGCTCAGAAGTGCCTATGGTCATGGAGCTATTAATGTCAGTAGTGAGAGCAGAGTTGGCCTGTGTTAACTCAGTTCAGTTCAGCCACAAGTGAAGGACCCACTGATCAGTTAGATGCTAAGGTGACATGAAACAAACTGGAAGGGCAAAACTATTATAGTATATTAAAGATACATTCCAAAGTGGGGGGGAAAAAAAACTGCTCTAAGTGTGCTTTCAGCCAGGCATGGTGGTGCACACCTGTAATGGCAGCTACTCAGGAGGCCAAGGCAGAAAGATCACAAGTTTGAGGCCAGTCTCCACAACTTAGCAAGACCCAGTTGAAAAATAAAAAGGGCTGGGGATGTAACTGAATGGTAGAGCACCCCTGGGTTCAATCCCATAGTATTGCAAGAAATAAAAAAATTTAAAAATGTTGTTTCTATTCTTTACTACTTTCCTTTTCTTTATGGTACATAGAAGCACAGATAGAATTTTAAGTTAAAAAATCTATAAACTTGGTTCTAAAATCTATAAAATTGACATACAACCCCAACCCCTCCAATAGTTCAGGTCAACTCTGTTTTTTAGTTTTGGAAGAAGTTGAAAAATATCAAGGTAGAAGAGGGAGATGGCCAACTCTAGAAAGGTGGCAGGTTGTGTATTACATGTTAGTGTGTACTTGTGTGTTTGTCAAGGAAGGAGGGCATCTTGCCACATAGATGTGGGAATTACTAGAATTTTAGGGATTGGTCCAAAATGCAGAAATGAAATGATAAGGATGATAAAAAGGGTGAAATAAAAATAGTCCTATTAATCTTTTTTTAAAAATCACTTTCAGTTCCTGGCTGTGGCCAGAACAAATAAAAAGAACCCTTTGAGCACATTCATATATTATATGAAAACCTCTCAATGTCTTAGGTTGACCTGGCTAGCTTTTTTCCTAGCTGGGTCACCAGAGAGTTAATGCAAAGGCAATAGAGATGCAAGCACTTGGCATAATACTTGGACATAGTACATAGCAAAGTAAATATTTGTTTGGCAAACATGTCATTAACTGCTGACAAGGCAGATGGTTTTCCATTCTGCTTACATGATTGAAGACAGAGTAATCCTCCTAGAAATATGCATATGTAACTAGACATGTGTGTTTAAGCAGTTAGATTTGGTAAGCTATTGTTTTATTTACTACTTTTGGACCTATTCTCAGAAAACAAAAGGAGTCCTTCTTTTTTTTTTTTTTCTCATATGCTGGACCTGTTCTCATAAAATGAGTTTGGCAGCTTTTCTTCTCTTTTGCTCTTACAGAAGCAAATCATTAAGATGAGATTGTTCATCAAAATTTTGTAAAAATGACCCATGAAATCTTCCAGGCCTGGCTCTTAAGGTAGACAGGATAGGAGAGGGGCAGTATGACCCAGAAGGCTCTGCCTATGCTGTTCCTATCCTCCCTTGCAATGCTGGGCTCATGCACAGGCTATATGACTTGCAGCAGGAATGGTACCACCTTGCATGCAGTCATCTCTTCAGTTGCAACAGGAAAGGAAATTGAGAAGTTTGCTTCAAACAGTGGCACCCTCTCTACCAAGTGACATTCTTCCTCTACCAGATTATCGCAGTCTCCTACCTCCCCAAACACTTAGAACAGCTATTATTTGAACAATTCAATTCTTTGTCTTTTTGTTTTGTTTTTACAAATCCATCATTAATTGTGGGAGAAAGCCAGTGAACTGCACATTTGCTGTCTTGTTGTACATCAAAAATATTTTGTATGGGGATAATATTGATCTCATTAATATTTATCATTAATATTTCCTCCTCCAGGAGACTCATCTGATAGGATGGTAGCTTACTGTGTATTGGCATGTTAACACATAGTCCCTTCTGTGATTCTCAGAATTGTATGATGAAATTGGCACTATTATCCCCACAGTTTTTAAGAAAAGAAAATGAGATCTTTAAAATCTATCTTGTTTTCATGATAAGAAAAATGAGTTTTGAGTAACTTACCCCATATAATGTGGGTAATAAATATCAGAGCAGAAGACAAATCCATATCTGTCCAAAATCCAGAAAATTCTAGTATGATCAACTCTGCATGGCATAGGTACAGACATAAACTGATAGTAATTGTCTTATCTGTAAGTTATCTATAAATGTAATGGGCTTGTATCATTGAAGATAATCTATGTTCAGGTATACGGGCTCTAATCTTAATAAAACTGCTCTTGGATGACTTTTCAGTACCACTGTTCACATCCAGCAGTGACACAAGGGCACAGGTTTTGTTCTTTCCTTCTTGGGAGTCTGGGGAGGCCATCTCTAGTAAAGCTCTCCTGAAGAGATCTTCTCAAGCCCAAACCCAGGCCCCTGGATTTAATTTCTGGGGTGTTTACCTATGATTTAGCAGTATGTCATCACTTTAAGACAGATACCTCAGTGTTGCCAGAGATATAGGAAAACAATGGGAACCCTCATTCTATTCACAGATTACATCTGGGTTTCCATTTGTCAGAGATGAATTGTAATGTGATCTGCTTAAAGTCTATCAAGGCTCTTTCTTTTGCTCTGACTCTCTGCTTGGCCTCACACAGAGGATGAAAAGAAAACACTACAGATGTTTTGTGTAGTAAGTTTCGTGTAGTAGGTTTCTGATAGACTCTAGATACAAATTTTTCCATTTTGAATATCATGCGTACTGGAGGCAATGAGTATTGTTTTTTTCTTATTAGAAAGCATACCGGGGAGTAGTAGAAGAGTAATCAAAAAGATTTGAGAGAGTATAGCAGGCATTCACTGGGGTGTTAAGCGAGGACAAAGCTGTTTATCCAGTAGATGGCACTCTTAGTCCTTGGTCCCCAAAGTTCACCAGTGGATGACAGTTCCTTTGCATTGGTTACAGATCACAACAGAGTCCATGCCACTGATGTGTTACATGCTGTTTGGTATCTTACTACCCAACCTATTCCAGGCCTCTCAACTGTGATTAATGATCACGGATCAGCAAGTGATTCAGGTATGTATCCAGCACCTCTGCGCTCCCTTGTGCCAGATAGGAACACATGGTTTTATGATAAGGAAGTCAAAACAAATATTCTCAGTTTCATAGGTTTTAAAAATTTCTATTACTTTAATTTTTCTCTTCTCAGATTCTGACAGTGGATTTACACATGGACATATGGGATATGTATTTTCAAAAATGTATAATGTGCCAGATGATAAGTATGGATGTCTGTCGGGGAATATTCCTGCCTTAGAGCTCATGGCTCTTTATGTTGCTGCAGCCATGCACGATTACGATCACCCGGGAAGGACTAATGCTTTCCTGGTGGCCACTAGTGCCCCTCAGGTAAATCTTTAGATTTTGATTAGGAGAGCTCATCCAGTGTAGAGATTTCTCTGAAGAAAATTAATTTTATACATTTGGCTTATACCAAGTAAACATAATCAAATTATACTTATTCATAGGATAAAATTCTTAAAGATCATACTGATTTTGAAAAAAAAAATCATTGTTCCAAAATATTCATACACACACACACACACAAAATCATTGTTTGTTCCAAAGTCTTCATGGTGGTACACAACTTTATTAGGCATAAGAATCCTTTCTAGTTTTCTTCTGAAGAAGAAAAATCTAGTTGAATCCATGCTAATGAACCTCTTCAACAACAACAAAAGGCAACCTATGCAAATGCCCCTTTCTGAAAAGATGAGAGAAACCAAATCTTCTTGAACTTTTAAGAATGTAAGGCCTCTTTGTATACAAATCTTAGTCCTTGGAAATATATTCATGATAACAACTGTGAACTCTTAAGGCCTATCAACTGGCTGGTAGGAATTTAATATCAGTTTATTCCATTTGTTTGAAGGATTTTTTTTTTTTTTTTACCTAAGCATAGATTGCAAAAATGAATAGCATTAGAAAGTCATCTTGGTGTGTTTAAGTTTGAGTCAAAAATTAATCACTAAATATCTAGGCATCTTCACTTATCCAATTAAGCCCAATCATTTTCCCCTCTATTTATAAACAGTTGACTCAAGTTACCAAACATCCTGAGACCCTCTGTGCCTCCAAGAGGAGCTAGAGGCCAGTCTAATCCTGTGTTTCCTTGTTTGCCTTTTGTCTTTTATCTGACTCTCATCCATTTCCCCAATAGTTTTTCTGGACTATTCCATGATTTTTCTTGAATCTATATACAAGAACAACCATGTTTCCCCCCTACCCAACTACCTACTTTATCTTCTTTCCGCATACCCTTCATACACCAGAATTAGTTTCCCTAAAGATGGGGAAATCCTCTTGCCAGCATAGTTTACTCTTCAGATTTTCCTACAGGTCTGTCTTACTCACCTTCACCTGGATATTTATGTGCTTAGCCTTTCCCAGTCCTGTATCTTTTCTTCCCTTTGTACACTGTCTCTCACACTAGTGTTCAAGCATTTTTTTTAAGGCAACTTCTCTTTTTTCTTACAACTTCTCATTATTAGAGATTTCCAAAACAAGCAGATGTATATTTATATCTTTAATTACTAGATATTTCCCATGGCTGATTATGGGTAAAAATGTTTTGGGTTGAGGCATCCCTGGAATTTCATTCCTCTTCACTAGTTGCATATGTTTAAGAGGAAGTAATTCTGTTGCCTAATACAGAAAGTGACCGAGTTACCTTATAGGGATAATTGGTATATGTATATATCTGTATGTGTACAAAGATACGTGTCTGTTTAAACTTACAAATATATGTATATAATAAATTCCTGTGCCCTGCAAAGAAATCTAAAACAACAACAACAACAAAAAAAAAACATTTTAAGGAATGCTGACTCTATTAAGATAGGCTACTACCCCTCACTTGTGATTATTTGGGCAAAAGTTTCAAGGAAAAGAACTTAACATGACTGAAAAGCATATTTAACCAAGAAAAGGAATCAACAGTCAAGATTATCAAATGATTCTTAATAACCAGCACTCAAAACACATTTTTTTTGCTTTTCCATGAAAAACAAACAAAAAAAGAAGCTATTTCAGAAGCATCGCATATTCTCCTTTATTTTTGTGATTCTTTTTTAAACTTACCCACTGATCTCTTGAACTCTTACTCTCCCACTCTTGCACAGGCGGTGCTATACAATGATCGTTCAGTTCTGGAGAATCATCATGCAGCTGCAGCTTGGAATCTTTTCATGTCCCGACCAGAGTATAACTTTCTAGTTAACCTTGACCATGTAGAATTCAAGCACTTCCGTTTCCTTGTCATCGAAGCAATTTTAGCCACTGACCTGAAGAAACACTTTGACTTTGTAGCCAAATTTAATGCAAAGGTAACTACATTTGTATCGGTCTTCATTTTATGGCCATAGGGAAAGATGTCATAGAAACAAACTGTTGAACAAAACTCCTTCAATTCTTATGTATCAACTGGGAAAATGAAATCCAGTAACATTTTTACCACAGCAGAAATAGAAGGTAGTAGTCTGAATCTAGCTATCTTGGGAGTTAAGTCTCTATGTGATGTATTATACTTTGTTCTACAGAGAAATAATACATTAGAAGTGTGATTTTTGTTTAACTTGCTCTTCTGTCTATGATATAATTACATATGAATTATATGGTAGCAACATAGGCCAAAAACTTGACACAAAAGATGTCATGCAAATATAAATGCCTAAATATTACTTAAAGATAATTTTTTTAATCATTTGTAACTATAATATTTTACTGGCAATAAATATGCTGATTTTAAATAGCACTTATTATCAATTTCATTGTTCATTATTTTACTTTTTTGATTAACTATTTTACTATTTCTGGAAGCCATTGTCTTATTCTTGAGCTATATCTCCATTCCCAATAACATTATTTAAAAAAATCTAAGTTCCTAATTATTTGGTATTCTGATCTCTACATAGTAGAAAGATATGTGTATTCTATTGCTTTTTTTCCTCCTGTTCAATTTTTTCTTTGCTTGAGGTAAATCATTTTAACTGTATCCTTTAAACAGGTGAATGATGATGTTGGAATAGATTGGACTAATGAAAATGATCGTCTGTTGGTTTGTCAAATGTGTATAAAGTTGGCCGATATTAATGGACCAGCCAAATGTAAAGAACTCCATCTTCAATGGACAGAGGGTATTGTCAATGAATTTTATGAACAGGTAACTACTTGAACCATTTCATCTATCCAAACCTACACTTTTAGGCTGCTTGTTCATTCACCAAAGCTTCTGAAAGGCTGCTAGGAAGTATGATCACTCTCTTTTATATCATGCTTTTATTAAAAACAAACAAACAAACAAAAACCTGCCCTATTTTAAATAGCAGTTTAAAACTGACACATAAAAAAGACTAAACTATACCCATAGAATTCTAAATCAAAGTTATTTATGGCGTTTGGGGAAAAGATGTTGAAATAATTGAATTACCTCGTAAACATTAGAAAGACCCTTGAAATACTGTTTTTCAGTAGATTTAGTATAATAAAAAGCTAGTTTAAGTTTAAATGGAGGAATATATAATACATTAAGTTCATTTACTTTTACAATATAGTTAATAACAACAGTGCATAAAAGCTAAAATATTGGCATTCTGTTTGATATAACAAGGAGAGTTAATAGACTACCAGAAAAGACCCCATAATAACATAAGTGCGGTGCAATACTGCCCAGGTTACCCTGCGTTGACCAGATTAAGCTTAAAGCTTTCTGTCCATTGTTGTGGATTTCTCACTTAAGAAAATGTGGAGGTGAGGGATCATGGGTGAAGGACAGGAACCAGTGACATGAAATAGCATGAACAGAGAAGCAACAGAGGAAATGGAGTGATTGTCTTCAGATGTCTTAAAAGCTCTGTACAAATATAGGAGTAGATTTACCATAATGTTGGTGTCAAGATTAAAAATGGTAAATTATAAAAAGTACTCAATATAAATCCGATTCATAAGAAAGGTCCAATACCTCTCTGCTGCCTTAAATGTGTATTAACCAGTCGTAAAAGTTTCAGGAGACATAGCTTAGATCCGTGTCAAAGAGAAAATTATAATACTAAAGATATCCCATCATAGGGTGAGGTACCTTATAATAAATATCTGTCATTGGATATGTTTAAACAGGGATTAGAATGAACTTTGGGTATTATGGGTATTATTCATATACAGAATACAATGGTTCATTTTTTAACAAATGTATGTTGCCTTTTCTGGGATTAGGATTATTTCTTGATCATGAAATATTGAAATGCACAAAAGTGTGAAGGAAAAGGAAAATCCACTTATAATAGTTGTACTATTTAGGCATAATCTTTATTGATATTTTGATATATTTCCTTCCTTAAGTTTTCTAGGTAACCTGTTGTTAAAGATCTGTTATTGTTTTCCAAGAAGATCTAAAGTTGTTCAAAACAAAACACATATACTTTACTACTATTAAACATAAAATAAATAAGAAAACATAATCACAGAAGATGTCATTCAAACAAAATCTAGGGTAAAGTAGCAACTTGAATTGAGCAATGAATTATTTTAAGCTTTCTGGTAGCCAAGGCAAAAAGAAAAAACATGATAGATTATATTTGTTAGAGTAACATTCCCAGCATTGCATTTTAAGATGCATTTGTATTCTCCTACAAAGGACCCTGACTAGTGTGATAAGAAATATTATCTACTGAGATATTAAGCCATTTCTTGCATTTTCTTCATGATAAAGCTCAACATCACAAAATTAGTTAATGGAAGCAACAAAGAATTGCTCTCTGAATCTTAGAGATTTGGGTAGAATCTCTGAGCCATCAAGTAAAGTCAGTTGAGCATGAATATCCATGCTCTTACATATCTATACATTTTAGATGACAAGGGAATGTTGACTTTTTTTGGTATCTTAGACTCTTCTCATTCACCTTTCTAGCTAACTATTCATGCTAACTCCCTGTTCCTAGGGTGATGAGGAAGCCAGCCTTGGGCTGCCCATAAGCCCCTTCATGGATCGGTCAGCACCTCAATTGGCCAATCTTCAGGAATCCTTCATCTCTCACATTGTGGGTCCTCTGTGCAATTCCTATGACTCAGCTGGACTCATGCCAGGAAAATGGGTGGAAGATAGCGATGAGTCAGGAGACACTGATGACCCAGAAGATGAGGAGGAGGAAGCAGCAGCAACAAATGAAGAAGAAACCTGTGAAAATAATGAATCTCCAAGTAAGTTACAAAATCCAGCTCCAATATGTTTTTCCTAGGATTATTTTCTTACTGAGGTTCAGATGAATTTTATGCTTCACAAAAATTACATGTTTTGAGGCCAGAGATTATCTGCTGGATTTGATAATGGACAGCTCCCTTCAGGGTTGTATATATTGCACAAAGATATATTCTCTGTCATGAAGTTAAATAAAATTCAGAATTGAAGCCTTTGCTTCAGGATATCTTAATGGTTTGGAAATGAATTGCATTTCTGTTACTATGGAGACCAACCACAAGGTTTTCTGGGCTTGGTCAAGGGAAAGTTCTGTGAAAAGGTAAGAGATAGCATTCCTTCCTTCATTCAGCAAATACAGAGCTTGCACTCTGTGCCAGTCATTCTTCCAGGTACTGAAGTTAGAGCTACGCAAATCCTTGCTTTGTAGACTTGCACTCTAGTGGGGTCATCAGACATTAACAACACAGATCATTACATTTGTAGTATGTTAGGTACTGATAGATACTAGAGGGGAAAAATGGGAACATATGAAATATTGTGGAGAAAGTTTATTTTTCTAAAATTGTAGATAGCCAGGGAAGGGGAAATATGAGTAAGAGAGAGAATTTTTAAAAAAGAAAAAGAAGACCTAAAAGAAGTAAAGGAATAATTCATGGGGATATATATGAAAAGAAGGATTTCAAGCAAAGGAGAAAGTAACATGTGCAAAGCTCTTGAGGTGGGATTGGCTGAGGTGGTCAAGAACCTTCAGGAGACTAGAAAGTCAGAGGCAGCCGGAAGCCACATAGTATAAGAATTGAAGGTAAGTCTCTGTAGGTTACCATAAGGATTCTGGTGTTTATGCCAAGATGTGAATCATCAGTGACTTTGACAAAAGTTTTTGTGGACTCAACTTACATTTTAACCAGATTGCATCAGCTACCATGTTTGGAATATTCTTTTAGGTTGAGGTGGGAGAAGTAGAAGTAGGTATTGTTTAGAGGACATTGTAGTTTCCAGAGTGGGGTGTCTATGACTTTGGACCAGGTGAGTGGCAATGACAATGAAAATAAGTTACAGCTCTACTTGGCTTGGGGTGCATCTTGCAACCAGTCTAATCCACTTCAATTAAATGAATATAAAAAATTATTTATTTCTCTTATTTCTCTTGCCATGAGACAAAAAGTAGTGACTGATAGCATAATTAGTAAAACTCATGAGCTTTAAAATGCCAGCGTGCAGATACTGCCCCTGCTTTCAGGAGAACCAAGTGTTTTTCTGTTGACCTGCCCAGGTGAACAAAGTGCAACTTTAATATTTTTCAAAGACATGATTAAAATATTACCAATGAAAAACATCCTGATTATTTCTCCCCTATTTTTATCATAGCCAGGATAATGCCTGCCTTAGTTCATCTCAACCATCTAGTAAGGAGCCTCTGTATGTTGTAAAGATTAATTTTCCCTCTTGTATATAAGCCCTTGTTGACAGCACACCCAGCATAGGTGAAGAGGTCATTATCAATTTAGAAGAGAGGCAAATTTGGCTTTGGGCCAGATTATTGTCTGTCCTATCCTATCTGTTAATTTCTGTACAGAATGGAGTGTAAAAGAAAAAAGTTGTTTCTATAAAACAACAAAAGTTGTATTCTGTAAAAGTTATTATATTTCTGTAATGCTTATAAAAAGATTTCCATCAGAAATTTTGTGTTGGCTTTGGGATTCAGAGCCCAGAGGCAAGACTTTGAATTCATGAGTTATTTATTCATTTATTTAATAACCATGTGTTAGTTTTCTCTTCAAAAACCAAGTAGCTTGCTGTATCATTAAGGATAAGACAGTTTTTCCACTGAATGACATTGGAAGGTGTTTGTCAGCTTAGCCTCTGGAAGAGCTTTTCTCCCATGGGCCCTGACTGGTTGCTGTTTGAACTCAGATACACTAAAAACAAAAAAACAATCCAGGGATCTGGAATGCAAGGACCCAGACAAGGACATGATATAAGAGACTCAACTGATCAACCTAGGTTTTGGTAGCAAGTGCTGAAATGAAATGTTTCCTTCCATTTTGTCTGTCGGGCTGGGGCTGGTTGACCATTCTGGCATTCAAATTCTGATATGTCAGTGTTCTGACCTTATAATTGTTATCAAATTCACTAAAGCAGCAATGAGAATTATGTGGATTCTGTAATGCCTTTCAGAATTTAACTGGAACCTTTCATTAAAATTTAAAACACACCACCCAGTGAAGCGGCAATGAAGCTTTCAAAATACTATCTTTAAAGTATTCCTCACAGCCAAAAAAAAAAAAAAAAGGTAAATGTTGAGCTGTGAGCATTTCTAAATATTGACCACATAGAGTAATGGAATTTCAATTAGCTACCTCATTTTAAATATAGCTAAACTAAGGTTCTGAAATTTAAGCAGTATCTCCAGGTTATAGAACAGGAGGAAGAATCCAGTTTTTCACACTTTTAGCTCCGTTGCTTTGGGCTCTTAGTAATTTTAATTTCACCATTCATGTTGGCTGAAATAGTTACTTTAATTTGGCCTGACTTAGATTTCAGAAAAGAACTAACTTAATGTGCATTGATAACTTCTGCAATTTGCAAAACTTGGAGATCTCCCAGGAAACACAGAATAAAATGTTTCAGTATGGTGTCCTAGGGAATGAAGGCTTTTACCCCACCTCATAATTAAATCTGAAAGATTCCTACAGCGAACTAAGAGGTTTCTAATGAAGTACTAAGCTGCATTTAGAATTTAAGCAATGAAAGGCTCTTTGTTCTCATTTCAAAAGGTTCCAGTGCTGAACAATTTGGCTCCCAATATAGGCATGTTTTAGACCACCTGCAGATTCTAATCTACGCACATTTATTTGGTACAAACTTTCTTCTACGTCACCTTATTCAGTATAATCCCAGAGAGGTTTATTCCTAATGTTTAACAGCATTAATAAGAGAACAGCTGCTCTCATGGGGACTGCCCCAAAAGGAAAAGGAGAAGAATTGAGCTTTTGTTAGTTTCTTCCCCATAAGTGTGTACAACTTTAAGATGGAGTGATCACCTTGAGCAATAGCATGTTTCCTATAACAGTGATTCAAAACTGACCTTTAGCCAATGGTCATCTGTCACTCCTTTGATTCAAAGGATTAAGTAAAAAAGCATGTCAATATTTTAAAATTTCTCAATAGAAGCTAATTTGTGCTGAAATGCAATAAAATCAAAGTAGAAATAGGTGAGTAGATGGCTCTGATAGAATTATTTTCTAAATTTGCTTTTAAAACTTGGATGTATGAATATTTTTTATTGACCTTGATAGAAATTTTTTTTAAAAAAATTGTCATTAAAGAAATGAGGATATGCAATGAAGTGTGTATATATTTTAGGTTTTTTTTTTTAATACTGTCCTCGTTAGGAACATTTCAGATGAAGAAATGGATATATGAGATCATTCCCCAAAGCCCCATGCAGTGCTGCTGCCCCTTCTTCATCCAGTGTGGTGAATTTTCATGATTTCCTTCCAGCTGAGGTGCCCTGTCTTTTAAAAAGAAAAAGAAAAAAGATCTCTATCTATTGTCCCACAGGTTTTGTCTTTTGCAGTAGTTTGATATATTAAAGAAAAATAACACACAACCTTTTTTAAATGGCAAGGAAAGCATTATTCAGGATAGTTGCAATTGGAGTCTAGACTATTGCAGTAAAGGAGAAAAACAGAACTGCTCTGAAACAAAAAAGCAGGAGAGTTTTTAAATACTGACTGTAGCTAGTTAAACTGAGAGGCCTTGCTGGGAGTTGGGTGATGTGATGAGGCCTTCTGTGTGCATTAATTGGTGCATATTGAAGGTAGGCTCCTGCCGTCCTAGGACTTTCTTCTCCTTCCCTTCCCAATTTCTTTCTCTCTTCCCTCTTTCTCTCTCTGGTTTCTTTTGTTTCCCTTTTCCCCTTTCTTCTCCCTCCTTCCTTCTTTCTCTCTCATTTTAAAAATTCTATAGTAAGAATATTTAATATTAGATCTACTTTCTTAAAATAATAAGTGTGAAGTTGCTAGACATCTGGTGTATTTATAGTCATCAATATTGTACTGGCATTATCTTTCTTGATTACCATGCAAAGGAATGTGTCCCAGGTCCCTGATAGCAACATTCCTGGATTGTAAAACTGGCTACAGGCTGGGAGGAGATTCATCTAAATTGCACAGGGACAAAGAAAGTTTACTGTCTAAAGTAAATGCTCTAAAAAGAGGGAAATTGGGGCGGGGCGGGGAGGGGGTGATGACGAAAATGACTCTGTATACTTTTTTTCCCTATAGACAGGGGAAAAAAACTTTCTAAAATTTAGTCAAGCTGAGAGCAATAGCACTGCAGTATTGGCCACATGTGTATGTCTGTCTGAAGCTGCACAGGTATTCGTTCAGTTTCTGCCTTCTTGCCTTCTCTCTTAGAGTATGAGATGTTTTAAGGCAAGCTGTAAGCCTAATTGATCTTTGTTTCAGCAACATCCAGAGAAGTGTTTGTCACTTAGTCAATACAAGTTTGATTGATAGGTCCATGTCATGAATAAATGTTAAACATATAAATAAATATTTGAAAATTCTTGGTCATAATTCTTCTGTATTCATTTTCCCTAGGACTTATTCAACTTAATGATTTTTATGTGTCTGTATGGTTCAAAAGAAATTCCCTTTTCTATACTGTGTTTTAAAAGTTGATCTTACTATCTTTTAAATGCAAAAAAATTCTGTTAGGTATTTTATAAAACTGTTAAAAATCACTAGCACTTCCACAAAAATGTTGGTAGGTGCCCTCCAAGAGGTCTAGATTCTTTGACACATCCCATAGCAATTGGCTTTGGTTTTGTTTCTGTTATTAATATCTGCCCCCTCCCCCCACCTGGGCTTTTTTCTGCTTTCGAGGATCTGCTTGGTAAACCATAACTATTTTACTAAGTAGACCCAGATACCCCTTTTGATCATGCACTATTACTAGTTTAATGTGGTCTCAATTAGATCAGAATTTCCTGTGGACTCGTATCATTGTTATTCTTACCTCTCATCCGCATTTCATCATTTACCTGCAACAATGGAATGTAAGTAAGAAAGTGAATGTAAGCAAGAAAGTATCTTACTGGATACTTGGTAAAGTCTGAGGCTTGCTTTGTACACAAAAGAGGAGAAAAGAGCTGCTAAGCTGGGCAAGTTTATAGTCTAATGGTAGGATCTTTGTCTAAATTCTAAATTCTTGGCCTAAGTCTAAAAATGTCGCTCAGAGGAAGATACCAAGAATTATATTCCAGTTGCTTAGCAGGGAGGTCTGTTCTTTCCTAAAGTGAAGAGCCTCTGCCTACTCTACCTCTCTCACTGGGCTCTCCCAGACACCTCATGTTCTCTGGGTCCTATTCACACTCCTCAGACCTGCTCCTCATCTACTGTATGTCTTACTACTATCTTCTTACCTGCTCAGCCCAGAAAGCTCAAGGTTATATTGACTCCTCTCTCTCCTTCATTCCCTACCTCTTAATTGGTTCCCAAGTCCTGTTGATTCTACCTAAGAAATATATATCATAATACTTACCATCATTTCCATTACGCTGTCCTGGTCCAAGCCACCATCATCCTGCTGTCTCCTCCCACATGGATCACCTTTCAAAGACTTGGTAAGATTTGAAAAAGATGTACCTACTCATTCACCCCATCTTCCCAGTGGAGCAGGCTCCTTGTTGACATATATTGTGTAGGTTAAGTCTCCCTTACCTAAAATACTTGGGTCCAGACTTCTTCAGATTTAGTATTTTTCAGATTTCACAGTATTTGCATGTATATAATAAGATATCTTGGGGATGGGACCCAAGTCTAAATATGAAATTATTTTGTGTTTCATATTTATCGTATATCTTACAACCTGAAAGTAATTTTATATTATATTTTTAGTAGACTTCTGTTTTGACTATGATCCATCACATAAGGTTAGTGTAAAATTTTTCACTGGTGGCATCATGTTCACACACAAAACGTTTTGGATTCTGGGACATTTTGCATTTGGAGTTTTTAGATTACAGATATTCATCTGTAATTAGTCTTTTTTTGTCTGTAAGTCACCAGAACCTAGCACAATAGCTGGTACCTATGATGTGCTTATAATTCTGAAAATTCATCTTTAATACTTTTTTTCTTTTGCTTTTCAAAGGCATAAATGGGATTATTTAGGGAAGTAGGTTCACATTCAAGGGTGAATGGGGTAATCTCAAAAAAGAGACACCTTTGGGGTAAAGCAAGGTCTTTTAATACTTTCAAATTGAAAACTGATCCTGGTAACAAGAAAATGTAAATTATTTATTGATTAAATGCTGAGCGTTGTCATATAAGGTCTGTATAGGTCTGAGCAAGGCTCCATCAAAGCATCTATAATCTAGAAGATGATCTGATACCTAAAATATATGAGAACAAGGTATGTTCTTTAAGGAGGGACATTATTCAAGACTCTTTTTGTTATAAATTACTAATTTCCCATTGAATGAGTATATCCTGAAAGGGAAAAATATTGGTTTCATGTAAGTAGAATGTAGGCCACTAGCAGTATTTACTTACTTTTACTCCTGTCTGCCTCACCTTCCCATTAATTTGTTATTTTAACTTTGCTTTTTTCATAAAGTAAAGCCAGCTCTATAGCCAGCTATAAATTATAGCCAACTCTAAACTATAGCCAGCTCTAAGTTCATATCATTCCAGATATAGAAACAGAGGAGAATAGATTCCAACCCCCATCTTCCAACTCCACATTCATTCTGCATCACTAGAAAAACTCCTGGGGAAGGAATCTGATTGGCCTGACTTAGATCACATGCCGACCCATTAGCCAATCACTGTGACACAGCTCATGCTGTCAGGAGGTAGTTGGGGAACTAGTCTTTGACACCTTTTCTAGAACTGCATAATTGAAGGAAGGGAGGTGACTTCTTCTCTAATAATTTTGAATATGCAGATACCATTAAAAGAGATAATAATAACAAAGAGGGAAAAAAAGAAATAATGTCTACTCTAGAAAGTATGTATGGAAGAACATGAAAATTTTAAGAGGAGAAAAGAAATTATTTCTTAGAAGTGGAATCCAGTGAAACCTAACTAGAGGTTATTTTGATGAGTGAATATGAATGTTTAGTGATTAAGACAAGCATTTCAGAAGGAGGAGCAGTACCAGCTTCCAAGTGGAAAAGTCCAGGGTATGTAAAGAAAACAGATCAGTCAAGCATAGACAGAGGTCAGGCTGTAGAACAGGAAGACCATAAAACTGAGTTTGTACCAGCTTGTGGAAGAACTTAGAATGGAGTTTGAAATTCGTTTTTTTAGTTCACACAAAGCAGAAGTCTGACATCAAAAGCATTTTAAAGGAGATTAGCTTTGTAGACTTATTTGAGAGTTGAATTCTTTGACAAAAGAAGACCTAACAAGCAATTCCAGTGGTCCAGGTGAGAAGTTTTGAAAGTCTGTCGTAGGAGTAATACCAAGACACCAGCAGAACTCTGTGTGGACATTACCCAGTACTGGATACTGTGCACAGTTATTTCTCAGTGATGTTTTAATAGTTATTTAGTTATTATCATTTTCCCTTATTTCCTTATTCTTGAAAGCTCCATATGAATCCATTTGGTTCTTAAATCCTATTAATAATATGCAAAGAAATAACTTCTACGTGTTCAGCACATGAATAAGTCATCTAATTTTATGGCCTTTTTTAGGAAAGAAAACTTTTAAGAGGAAGAAAATCTACTGCCAAATAACTCAGCACCTCCTACAGAACCACAAGATGTGGAAGAAAGTCATTGAAGATGAGCAGCGGTTGGTGGGCACAGAAAACCAGTCCCTGGACCAGGCTCCTCAGCAGTACTCCTCAGAGCAGATCCAGGCCATCAAGGAAGAAGAGGAGGAGAAAGGGAAACCAAGAGCAGAGGAGAGACTGGCCCCAGAGCCGAACCTGTGACCATGAACAGAACAAGCTGTGTTTCCAAACTAAATTTGTCACAGACTTTTTTCAAGCCAGCACAACACTTAGACACAACACTGTAGAAATATGAGAAGATGGGCAAATGGCTATTGCATTTTGGGATTCTTCGCATTCTATGTGTTTATTTTTACAGTGAGGTACCTTGTCGAAAAACTCTTGCTCAGAGAAGCTTTCACATTTGCAACACCAGCTTCGACGGATTTTTTTTTTTTTAAGGAGGATATATATATATATATGTGTGTGTGTATATAAGGTCCCACGTAGATACATGTACAAACCTTCACACACATGTGCGTATACACACAAACACACTGAAAGCCAGGATCTCTGGCTCCACAATTAAGTAACATTCATATTAAGAAACATAGTGGTCACTGTGATATAATAAATCATAAAGGAAAACAAATCACAAGGGAAATGGTGCAGCTTAGCAACGATGTGGTGCAGCAAATGTAGGTTACCAACTAAGCAGCTTTAGCTCTTCATACTGAGGGATGAAAGTTCCAGAGCATTATTTGGATTCTGATACATCCTGCCAACACCGTGTGTGTGTGTGTGTGTGTGTGTGTGTGTGTGTGTGTGTGTGTGTGTGTGAGAGAGAGAGAGAGAGAGAGATTGTGTATTAGTTGAAAGAGTGCCTGTATACATGTGTGTGCGTATGTAAAAGACTTTTGTGGGTTTAGTAGTTTGTAGAATAGCTGTAGCAGATGTCTCAGTACATGTGAACAAGAGAAGGAAGTTCACTCTGGAGTGTCTTTGAAAGGCAGTCATTCCAAATGCCCTCCTCCAATTTAGCTTTAATAAAGGCCTCTTGGCAGATGGAGGGCATTCATGGGCCATTTGATTGATACTACTGCTATACACCACTTGGAGGCGCTGTACCACCAGCCTCAAACCTGGAAGACAGAGGCATTTTCCAGTCTACTAGCCTAATGAATGTATAGGAGCCGTTTGTGAGTGTGGGCACTCACAGAAGATCAAAACACCATTTAAGGGAATGGCATTCTTTATACATAAACACCTAAAAGGAACTGGAGTCAGGTGGTTTCATCAGGTGAGAGTTCTAAAAGGATGCCAGAGAAGGCCTGGGAAATTATATTTAACAAAGATCTCCTGTGCCTCCTTAATTTGCTGCAAAATGTGTAGTCAAAAACGAAAAGACAAATGGAAACCCACTGTGGGTTATATAGTAAGAGATGAGGGATAAGATGGCAACCTAGGGTTTGGGCGTTGACATAAAGAAAACCTGATCTTGGCAACTTTTAGAGGTTGACTTTGGGGTTGAAGGTCAGGCTGTACCCCCTGTTGTGGTATTTCTAATGCTGTGCCATGGGGTAGTTTCCATCTCAGTCTGGCACATTGTCATGCTTTTTGGCAGGGAAGATAACTGAGGGATTGTTTAGGGACTGGGCTGTTATTGAAAGTCTTTTTTTTTTTTTTTTTTGGTTTGTTTATCTACACTTGTTTATGCTGTGAGCCAAACCTCTATTTAAAAAGTTGATACTCACTTTCAATATTTTATTTCATATTATTATATATGTCATGAATAGTTATCATGATGTAAATATGAAGATTTTTGTTTGTTTGTTTCTGTAGATACTAAACACTTTTTTAAAGAAAAGAAAGGGAAAAGGGAAACATTTTTATAAAGTTATATTTTAATCACCATTTTTATACATTGTAGCTATCTCCAGGTCCAGTAAGAGGGTGTAGTTCATTGGCATAGAGGTCTGTGGACAACTGCTCATCTACCTATTCTAACTTAAAAGATAACCGGATAGTTATTTTTGCCAATTAAATGAGGATGCTGTAAAGAATTTTTTTTTTCCCAGTAGTAACTCTTGCTAACTGAATGCTAACTAATTTTGGGTTTTTGCCTCCCAGATGAAAGACTTTTTAAACCAATATCAAATTGTTGTAATTGGTGTCCATTTCTCTCCAATGTCTTTGGGACTACAACTCTTAGTTCTGTATACACACTTGCTTGTCACCTAACAATCTCAGCTTCCAAGAAAACCTAGATTGTGATTTCTACTTTTAACTTTTCCTGAAGTCAGAAAGGAGTGTTTACATGAAAAATCCCTTTGTTTCTCATGACTGGATAGTGTATTCTTTCCTTCCAAAGCATGACTTTATAATAATTCATGGAACTTTTTTCAAATTAGGTAAAGACAAGGCAAATTTTTCTATTAAGTAGGGAAATGTAAAGATGATCAAATGGATGCAAACAATACCTAAATAATTAGTATATATTTCAATTTGTATTTCTGAGTTAACACCAGGTCATCATTATTTAGCATTTGCTGAGTTCCCATTTTCTTAGAATTGCCTGTGTTTCTCTATGTTTGCAAAATGTACTGTGAGTCAAAAACATTTCTCCAATAAAGTTAACAGTTACCCTTACAAATAAGAAAGAAAAAGGAATTTATAATCACATACTCTTTGCATCTGTGTACTTAGAATTAATCTTTTGTCTTTCTCCATATGACTATATATCTCTAAAATGAATAGAAATAGAGGAAAAACCAGGTGTGGAGTGAGTCGGGTGGCAGAGCCACTGTGAGAGTCCCTTCTGTGTGTAGGGAGTATTATTCTGCAAAGCCTTCTGCTTAGAAGCCAGCCTGGCTGGCACCATGGAGTTCTCAGCCAACTGCCTGGATTTTTTTGTTGTTGTTTTAAGGTACATGATATAATCGGAATAATAATGACCAAATCAATTGGACCCTCTTATTCCAGAATCATGTTCATCAATCCAGGCAGTTTAGTAACTTTTTCTTAAAAAATAAATTACCATTATATGTAAGCTAGAAGTCAATTGAAATAAAGGAATGGAGATCCACCAGGTGTGTGACTTTCATACACACCTGGTGCATCTTAAAAGATGCACCTAGGGACATAACCAGATATTTTCTGCTTGTGATGTTTTCCCCCTCCTTGGTGACAGCAATATTACTGTGTTCACTTCCAGATCCAGAGCTTACTTCCTGTGGTGCCAATGTCTTTGTTGCAATTTACTACATTTTTATATGAGCCTACTTTTTAGGTGCCATATTAGATAAACTCAGGTCTTTCAAATGAAGGAACTTCCAGCCCACTTAGGGAGAAGGATCGTTGTATAGATAGCCATAAAATCAATATTAGGGAAAATTGGAACAGGTGGTTCTCTGTCAAGAAAAAGTCCAGGTATATTCTCTCTGTTATCAATGTTATTTTAAGCATGCTAATAGATTGTCTTTCTAGTGATATAGCTAAGCCATACTTTTGAATATTATTTCCTTGGTGAAAACACCACTTTTGCTTTCTTCGTTATCTGTAATTTTTTTTTTTGGTCATTTTATAAGACCTGGTTTTGTTCTCAATGAAGGATGAAGACATTAGCTCTGTACAGAAATATGTCTATATTGGTCTTCATCTGACATGTGAAAGAATTTCCTCATATTTTAAAAAGTATCCACTTTCTAAAAAACATACTGAATTTTGTCTGTTCCATTTTAGTTGGATTCCAGAACAAACCCTAACCATTGCAATCCCAGTATAAGAAAAGGAATTGAGTATCATGCAGATGTTCATTAGATGTATGTAGACTATTAATTTGTGACTTCCCCATGTCCCTTGCCTTTCTTTCCCCAGAGAACTTTCTTGAAGGTAAAAACTGTGCAAAAGGCATGAGACTCAGGCCTATTCTTTGTTTAAATGATGGAAAAGTATAAATTATTTTCTAAGTAATAAAATATGAAAATTATCATTGTAAATAAAGTCTAAAGTTTGAAATGACTGCTTTCTAAAATGAAGTATTTGTTTGATAAACAATTTCCGACTAATGAGAAATAAATAATCCAGAAATCCTCATATTCTATTTCGGGAGGTATTCTTGGTGCTTCCAAGGGATCACTTCTATCCTCATTACTTACGATATTTCTAGAATAATATTGAAAACTATAATAAAAGTCTTACTGTCCTTCTCTTCCTTCCTAACCCTCATTCCCATTTAATTCCTTCCCCAGTTTCTATGCCAGTTTTAAATAAACTGCGTTTTCAAACTGGCAGAAGTTTCCAATAAGGTCTGTAAACTTTCATAGTCTAGAGTAAATCAAGATTTTCCTTATTCTACAGATCTGTCAGCTAATATGTATAGAAAAAAAATCCAAATTTGCAAATAGCTCAAATCCAGATTATTAAAAGCCAAATATATCTATTTTGAAGCCAAACTGAACTTCTATCATCTCTGCTAATAAGCAATGAAATATTTTAAGACCACTGGAGTCATGATCTCTCTCATGATTTCCACACGAAGTAAAATGATGAATTTGCTGATATGATCATTTCATTAAAAAAAAAAACTAAGCAAATTCAAATTAAAATTAGGAAACCCATTAACCACTTTAGGTGACGAGCATTCCAAAATTAATTTTTCTTAGAATTTCTAATCGAGGGGAAATACTAGTTTGGGGTTGTATATTCAGATTATGTAAATTTGTTTTAGAAAATATTCAAATTCTTATAGGAAATTCAGTTGGAAATAAGCTAAACTATTGTCACCTAACAATCTCAGCTTCCAAGAAAACCTTGATTGTGATTTCTACTTTTAACTTTTCCTGAAGTCAGAAAGGAGTGTTTACATGAAAAATCAAGTTAACTAAATTAACTAAATTGCTAACTATGACTTACATAACTTAAATCAAGTTTTGTGTAAGTATTAGTATGTTTTATACCAATGAACCATTATCAGAAAAAGAGAATATCTTTTTTCTCTATATCGTGCACCATGGATGTTGGGCAATTTGTGCTATTACCTAACATATTGTATCTGTTTAAACACTATTTACTTTTACCTTATGGTGCTTTTTGCCTTACCTGAATTGATCTTTATGTTCACATTAGAAAATTCTATAGCATGATAACAATGGTGATATAAAAGATGGGAGCTTTTGTATGTGTGCTTCTGTGTTAAGTATGTTTGAAGACATAAAAATGAAGATTGCAGCTTTATTGACTTGGTGAAACTCAATAGGCTTATTCAAGAATATTGATACAATATAACATCTTAATGTGCATAAGACCAAAATATATATGGAACCATGTATAGAAGGAAAACAAAATTGTCTTTAACTCATGCTTAAAGATCCGAAAAGAATCCAAACTTCCTATCTAAAGATAGCCAGTTCTTCTCCATATCATGTTTAAGGTTGATTACCTTGATATATATTGTTCTCTCTGGATTTCTGCTTCCTTGAAGAGGGGAGCAGACAAGAAAAGCCAAACCTTCTCCTTCTAGAAATGTTGGTCAGGTCCATGTTTGAACACCTTTCCTTATTGCTTCACTTCAAGAAGTGGTTCTTTAATCATGAAAGTAATTCAATCAAAATACATTGCTTCAAAAAGAGTAATATCAAATCTTCATATGTAAATGCTATCAAGAATATTTAAATTTGTTTTCTTGAATCAAAACTATTTTAAATGTTTTTATTAAACTTACTAAGTAATGTTCCATGGTAATAGAATGCTGAATATTTTAACATAACCAGAACTATTAATGAGAAAACTTGAAAAGATTCAATTATATTTCCAGTGTCCTCATACTTCATGAAGAAAAATGAAGGTACCATAAATACATAAGGTAGATTAAAATGTATTTCCCCCAGAAATTTAAATATTCAAACTATAGTCTGAGCTCTTCTGAGATATTCCAAAATGAAAGAATGTCTTACCCAGTAATTTATCATGGCTTAGTTTGCTATAAAATAAGTGGTCTATTACTATAGTTTTTAGAGTAAATTCTAACATAGTTAAAAACCCAAATACTGCCAGGCACAGTGGCACACTCCTGTAATCCCAGCGGCTCAGGAGGCTGAGACAGGAGGATCACAGGTTCAAAGCCTTAGCAACAGTGAGGCACTAGGGATGTGGGCTCAGTGGTCAAGTGCCCCTGAGTTCAATTCCTGGTACCAAAACCAAAACAAAACCAAAACAAAACAAAACCCAAATACTTAAGTACTAGGAAAGATTAAACATTATTTATCTTGACTTTCAACAGATGAAGCATTGACTTGTAGATTATCCATATCTACTACATTCATCTGCCAAGCATGGTAGGTTGGAATTGGAAATCCATTAATAGAAAAATAATTAAAAAAAAGTTTTTTAAAGCTTTACATTTTCAGTGTCATTGAGAGTATCTCTTTCAAATGAAACCAAACACAGCAGGGAATTCTTCCTTCTCAAAAAAGGCAAATACAAATGAGCAACAACAAAACAAGAAAAAAAAAACTAGTTAAATTTATAGAGAAAAAGTATGACTTTGTGTCACTTTTACTTCTCTTAGCTCAATATTAATAAAGAGAAATGATTAGAAATTCTCCTGTGCCATAATAAAGAATGCTTTTTATGTTATGTTCTAAGTCACCCCACCAGGTTTCATTGTAAAGTCCATGATACTTAGCACAAAAAAAAAAAGTTGAGGATTGTATGTGAACATCACATAAAATTCAAAGCACATCCCAGGCACCCTTCTGTCATCATTACAAACCAATTTAGCTATGACCTAATGGATCCATATTCCAGCCCTGATTTCATTTGTTACAATGCTCACATATACATGTTTCTGAATGCTGAATGTGAATTAGCCCTTAGAGCTTAGAAACTGCTGCTTAAATATCTCTTAAAGAGAAGAAATTTTAGTCTAGTAAGTTTTACACCCTGAATAGTAGCAAACTAGTCAGATGTTTAATGTGAAATTTAAAATAATTGTTTAAAGATGTTCTCTTTGTATATATAACTGTTGGTTGGTAGAACTTCCCTAGTCACCTCACTTTTAAATTTTTTCAACTGATTATTTCTATGACTTAAAAACCACATATTACACTACATATTTCATTTAAGCTATTTAAAAGCATAACCCAAGTACTATAGTATTGGTATTCTTCAGTAATAACCCTAATAATATCTATACATTACTTGTGGTGGGGGTTTTAATGGCTTGACTTTTAATATATATTTGTTTGTTAGATTAAAAATCACTAATTTGTACACCCTAAAATATTTGCATGGCATTTTTGGTATATTATGTTTGCTTAACTGTTTTAGTTTTCGTGTATGAGTGTCAATTTATATCCTAATATATTCTCACGTAAGAATGCATACCATTTTTACTTTAACAAGGACAATTTGCTAGTTGACAAGCACTGGAAATAAATATTATGGAACCCTCACACACCCCGACGTTTCTTTCTAGAGATTTTTATAATGCAAATCACAGAATGAAAATCGGTGCTTTTATAAATATTCTGGATCTCTAAAAGCATAAACCAAGTTTTTTATGATGATATTAGGATATGTAACCAGAAGAACTTTAATCTGAGTCTAATGTTTTTGGTTTTGATTGGTCTAATTGATTTGGTTTTTGGTGTGAAAATCTCTTCTGATTCCTGATAGAGCAGTTGTTTTGATCAATCATTACCTCTTTCCAATAAAAACCTGTTATTGATAGTTCTTATTAGTATATCTCAAATATTTGACCTTTTAGAATATTTTTTAAGCCTGAGAGAATGGGGTTAAACTAATTTAGTGTTCCTAAGAGCAATATTTTCAAAGGACCACCAACCAAAGTGGCACCATAAGGGATATCATTTGTACAAGACAATTTTTAACAAGGTGATTCTTACCACTTTCAACAAACCTGAATTTGTTCATTAGTTAATAACTTTGCCAAATTTATTAGAAACACAAGAGTGAGACATTGGAACTTGATCATTTTGCAATTGAAATAAATTTTGTTCTTTCATCTGTACTTTGCACTTAATATATGTAGCAATATTTAGTGTCACCCAATTACAAGTATTTGTTAAGTGACATAGTTTATGGCTGATAAATGTTTTGTAAAAAAAAAAGTAGAATCTGTACAGAAAAAAAAAACTTAGATAAATTGTATTTATTTTTATTACTTTTTAGCTTAGACACTATACTTTTTGCCAGAATTACTGGAAGTGCCTCTTGGTTTTATATATATATATACAGTGCATATATATTCAAAATTATTGAAATTGTGTCATAAATGATCAATGTGGTTGTTACAATGTGAAGGTAATGTATAATATAAAAATAATTCTGTGGTACCATGTTTGATGTAGTTATTTTTGCAACCTATAGTCTCTGATCTTCTGTAAGTATGTTGTCCTCCCATGTCAAGTACAAGGCTTAGCACCCAATCCACTCCCTAGTGAGACATCCATTGGCCTTCCTATAGACTCTAAGGACCCTCAAGAACCTTGTATTCCTTTAGTAACATCTTCTCCCTATCACTTATAAATTCTTAGCCACATTATTTAAAATCTAACTTTCTGCTACATGCGTTAACTTTTCTTTAATTAAATAGCCTCAAACCAAGATACCCACATTTCTGGCATGCAGTTTCAGAATCCCATAAAATAGTGCTGCCATTTATCCTATAAATTCTATAATCCTGTAAATATTATGGATGCCAACACATGGAACATTTGAATTACACAGACTCAGTTATTTTTGTTCTGCATCTTTGAAAATAGAATAGTTTAATGATTCAAAACACTCAAGACAATTTCAACGAACTTATGTGTAGTCCTCAAACAAAATGCAAACCACGATTTCTACCCAAGGAATTCATTCTTTAATCTACACATTGATTTTCCCATAACTAGAAAAATAAAACTCCAAGCTCTAAGCCTGTTCTTTTAAAATTTCCCTTAACACTCACCTAAAACTACCCTCCCTTCAAAAGGAACAAGATATTTAATAAGAAGATAAGTTATGTAGAATGAGATGGAGTGACACTGGGTAAGTCTGATGGATCCTGAGATCCATGGCCAAGGAAAGCAATGAATTTAGCCACTACCTGAAATAAGAAGCTTCAGGGATCAGATTCGTGTGTCCTGGTCACACCAATTCACACTTAATGCAGCTCAGCAGATCATCCCACACCTGCTCACCATGTGAGGAGGAGGTTGGAATATGGGGATGAAAACCTGACCAATGAAAAGATTAGAAATGTTGTTTTAAATAACTAGAAAACCTTCTGCTTGTTGGAAGGAATGTAAGCAACAGTTGCTTATTTTTGTCTGGAGCTATTTCACGTCCTGAACCTTCTTTCTGGCATCATCACTGGCTTAAAGAGGAGCTCCAGGCCCACTTCTACTCAAATCTGTCAGATTCAAAGTCCTGTTGTCCTCCTCGGGCTCTCTGGAGTCTTCTGGGCAACTGAAATGAGACAGAGCTGGGTTGTGGCTGTGGGTAGAGCTAGTTTGCTTCACACTTCCGTTAGCACTTAGGGTGGAATAGCTGTCAGTTTGGGTAGCTTTTTCCCTGTCAGATGTCAGAGATGAATTCATTGAAGCCTTAGTCTCTAGTCTTTGTGGATATTGATGTAGACAAAGATGATAGTTTCACTTTCGATGTCTGCTATAATAAGTTGCGACAAATTTGCAGACTTACTGCAGATTTTCAGCTTTGTGCATCAGAAACCCAGAGGCACTTTGGTCGAGTTCTCTGCATTGGGATTCTCACAAGAACAAGAGCAAGGTATTTGCCAGCCATCCTCAAGGGTGCAGGGCGGGGATACACTACCAAGCTCATTCAGGTTCTTGCAAAACCATTCCTTGCAGCTATAGAAATGAGTTCCTTTGTTCTGGCTGGCTGTCACTGGGAACCTCGCACAACTCCTTAAAGCCACCAGCCTTCCCTCTGACATTGCTCCTCTCACCATCACACCAGCAAAGCCCAGGTGTCCTGTCCTTTTCAGACGTTCTTTTCCAAGGTATCCTTTCTGCTTCCTGCTGCTTTGAAGGGTTCATGTGATTATTTGGGGGCCCTAATAATCTGGGAGGTTCTCCTTTGGTTTATAACTTGAATTAACATGAAAATCTGTCTGGAAATGTAACTTAATTTATTTATAGTTCCCATGAACTAGGATATGAATATCTTTGGAAGCTATGATTTTATCTTCCACAAATCAAGAAAAGAATGAAGAATACAATAAAGGTATAGAAAGAATAAGGGCCACATAATCATTTCCTCATGCCCAGCATGAAGGTAGCAGTCCAAGTACAAAAGCCAGCACTGGCAATGGGAAAAGCAGAGGACTCCATTTAAAGAGTTTGTAACAAGCCTTTGAAAATTGAGTCTGTATACTCACTATAACCCCTGTGAAACTGGGACCTGATCTGATCTGATACAATATAGGCTCTTCACCATCCACCAACATAGGTTGCTATTTGTCCCATGGCCAGAATATGTGGGTAATGGGATTAAAGGGTGGGAATAGGAATGATTTCCCTTACTATTTTAGCTACTAACCAACTTATTTTGTTCCCTATCTCTGAAACTCGGCTTTGCTTATTTAGAGGAAATTGTTGCCAAGTGAGAGGTGATTTTACCATAGTATACACTGGTCCCATTGCCCTGGAATTGAAACCTCTTTGGTCATTGTGTCCTCTCATATTACTGAACCATCAGGAGAGAAAAAAAAAAGATTGATCCCAATTTATCAAGCTGAAATATGATTTCTGATATAAAATCTTGGCCAGAAAGACTGTGTTTGTAACAGAGAGAATTCTCTGTGGAGCCTTCGACATTGAATAGTAAATGAAATGAGAAACTAAATCCACCCAATACAAACAGGAACACTAAGGAATTTGACCTGAAGGATGAGATTTTGGATCATTGCACCAGTAAAAAAAAAAAAAAAAAAAAAAAAAAAAACCTCAACCAAGTGATGTACTGAGGACAAAGAAAATATGGAAAACAGAAGTTCTATCACTTTTAATTTTTAGCCAATTATAGAAATGGATTGAAAATTCATCCTTGAAAATTTTTATGTATCTACCTACCTTTCTACTACTTATTTAAAACTCAATTATGAGAATTTTTAGATATATTCAAAGTAGTAAATAGTATAGTGACCACTATGTACCTGTTACTCAGCTCCAACAATTGGTATTTGATTAATCTGTTCTATCTATAACCCCAAACATTTAGCTCTTCTCCTCCAAATTCAAAGATATCCTATGCAATATACCTTTTTACTTATAAATGTTTTGTTTAAATAAAAAATACTTATCTTTAATTCTCCCAAATAGCTAATATTCACACAGTCTTCACATTTTTGAGTTTATAAATCTTTCAAGAAGATTATGGAATCTTCTTGTTATGCAGTATTTACTTTTGAATAGGGGTACAAACATACATTATAATTAGTTGATTCATTTCTTAAATAGTAATATACAATTTATCCCCCAAGTCCCCCTAACCCCTGCCTTGCACTTCTTGGTTGGGGAAAAAACAAAACAAAATAAAACTAGGTTGGCTGTCCCAATGACATCCCCCGCTTTAGATTTTGCTGATTGTGTTTTTTTCATATTCTTCTTCCTCCTCTCCTTATTTAGACCCAGTCTGTGGCTAGATAAGATTTGTGTTTGGGAATAAGAAAGAAGACTCTTTCAAAGGTGATGATTCAAGCTTGTAAGTTCCATCCAGATGTTCAAAATGGCTATTTCTTCATGTGTGTGTGATATTATTGGTTGATGATGATCATTATCTAGATTCGTTAAATTGTTAGGAATTCATTAGGTTTGAAATGTGTGATATTCTAATTTCTTCATCCCTTTTTATTTTTGTATTACTTACATAGGAATTTTTCCATTTTAATAACTAATAAACACATGGAATAGGAAAGGCTGTACAAATGCACACTTGTCCCCTGTGTACCAACAATTTTAAAAGTATTAAATGTTATTTAGAGTCACACAAAGGTGAACATATGATGTTTTTAAGGTGCTATTCCAAATTCATGAATTTAAAAATTTTATGTGTTTCAGCCATTGCAATTATTATTCTTTTTTCATTCTCAGGTTTTCCTTTGTTTGGCTAGCAGAAGCTTGTTCAAGTGGATCCTAAGTTCTATTGGCACAATCTACTCTTCAAGATCTTCTAGGACAAGATGATCCAGACTCATCTTATAACCCTAGACCTGGGATCATTCAATGTCAAGGAGCTATGGTTCCTTTGTGGTTTTTTTATAGACCCCAATTAAATGCTAATTAGTCACTGTTTCTAGATCTTTTCAATGGAGAGAGATGGAGGCATGGGCACACGTGTGTGTGTGTGTGTGTGTGTGTGTGTGTGTGTGTGTGTGTGTGAGAGAGAGAGAGAGAGAGAGAGAGAGAGAGAGAGAGAGAGAGAGAAAGTGTTTGCACATATACATATGTGGGTTTGTTTTTCAGACTAAAAACTGCTTAATTCAAATTTGGGACTGCAAAGCTTTCCTTAACCTCACTGATCTACTTCTATAGTTGATATTTAAAGCCACGAGACTGAACAAGGTCTTAAGGGAATAAGTATTCATAGAGCAAAGAGGATATCCCAAGGACTGAATTGTGGGCTATTCCAAGCAATGAAGTCCAAAATGACCACTGAAGTAGAAGTAAAAGATCAGGGGAGTGTGGTACCCTGAAACCCAGGTAAACAAAATGGACAGAAGAGAAGGGCAGGTCAGTAGTGTCCAATTTTTCAAGTAGATCATTTGAAAATGTTTGGGAATTGATCACTGGATTTATCAATGTGAATGTCTTTGGTGTTACTGATGAAATAGTTGTGGTAGAGTGAGGGAGTTGTTGGAGAAAGAATTGGAGGAGAGGAATTTGAGATCTGAGTATAGACTCCAGCTTGGACTTAGAAGCAGAGACTTTGTTCAAGAAGCAGAGAGAAAAACAGATTATGCATACACATGTAAGGCAGAGAGTAGATGTGGCCGTGGCAGCTTATGTTATTTCTCCTGCTTTTTTGTTTTGTTTTCTATTTTGTCAGTGAATTTCCTGTGGAAAGCCATCCATGAAATGTTCGTGGACCAGATCAGCAGAAGCCATTGAGTGGGAAGATCTGGTATCTGGGAACTCACAGCAGCTCTCCTGCTGGGGACATGGCCTGACACATGTGAACTCCCACCAGCTCTGCCAGAAGGTCCCGCACAACACCAGAGACGGGAGTTACCCATTAAGAGCCAAACAGCCTTTCTACCCCCACCTATATCTTGTTTTTCATGAAGCAGCAAGCACCGAGATAAGACTCCTCCCACACTGAGACCTTATACCT